TAATATTTACATTCAATATGTTTAAATAATTTTTTTTGTTTTTATGTCAGAGTGACGAAAGGCGCGCGGAAGCCAGACTACCCGCTTTTGGCTCTATTTTCAGGGCTCTGTAAAAATTATAAATAATCGAGATACAGTTTCGGGAGTCGGGACTTTTTCTACGCAAATTCATCGATCTTATCAAATCTTTTTTCAAATTTCCAAAATTTTGAAAATTTTCCGAGATATTAAGAAAAAACTGAAGCCCCATTTTTTTTTCACTTAATTGTTTATAACTTTCGTAATTTTTATCGGCGCGTTTTCGGACCTTCCCTTAAACTTTCTAGGCAAAAATACGAATCGAATGACACCTTGGTCGTAATTTTTGGACAGGGCTGAAAAATGTTACAAAAAAAAAGTACATGTGAACTAGACTATTGTTTCTTGGGAATAACGATGAAAATAATTTGTTCATTCCAAAAATTCATTGGTGAGATATGGATCAGTTAATTATTGTTTATATTTGTTTTCCACTGGAATAATTTTGCATTTTGTTTCAGTACCTGTACCTTCTTTACTCAGACGACAGCCTCATCTCCTTGGATGAATGGGTCTTCAACACAGAAGCACACCCGCTTCCAATCAAAGGTGTGAATTCGTACTATAGAGAGTCAACCCAATAATGGTACATGGCACCATTCCCACCGATATCATTTGAAGCGACTGATACACAAGAATACTTTAAACTTTGAAATTTTTATTTATTGAGGAAATGATATAATATATACGAAGAAGTGATTGAGAAACTCTGGGTAGATTTAGTTATAAAACAGTGTGTGGATCATAAATGTGAGTTGATAAACTGTGATCTTAAGAAAAACTTATTATCGAACCAATTTCAAAGAGGTTTACATATTTGAATGATATTTCAGATGAATGCAGTTTGTTGTTTGAATTCCTCATCAGTAATTAATATATCAGAGTCTGAATGATAGGAGAGGTTGAAGCAGACTGTTGTAACCACACGAAGTTTGGTCCACGAGACAATCCCGCTGATATTTCTGCTGACAGCAAAGATAAAACTGCTGTTTTTTACGTTGATTAAATTAAAAAATCTAATACTTCCTAAAAAGTTCTGAAGAGTCTTTGAAAAATAGTTCCAAAATTTCAGAAGTGTATGAAATAATTCAACTGGATTCAACACACTAAAGTTTGTTTTCAAAGTATAGTTTTTGTCATTCAAAATATCAATCGAATGATATGCATGAGTTGAAGATGATTATGAAAATGACAAGATAAATAATTATCTTAAATGTCGCCGCGCCGTGCGTATTTATCCCGTTCAAAGCAATCCAGATCGTTCTTGAACACTAACGCGCTGGTCCGGCTGGTCGGTTCTAGCCGATTCTAGCTTGATGGCGTCAGCGGCAGATCGCTCACCGCAACGTTGTCGCTGTTTATGTTTAATATTATGACAATTATATTTTTTCATGGAATTTTCGGAAGCTTCTCTGATTTTTGCAGTTTGTATTTTTTAAATTGAAGTCGTTGTGAGAGCTACCAGAATTGCCTACGCGAGCTACCGGTAGCTCGCGATCGACAAGTTGGCGACCTCTGCAATAGAGAGTTGTCATTTTTAGAAAAAAAAAAAAGAAAAACTATAGGACACGATATAATGTACAAAATTGAAAGAAATTATCTTTCGTACATTTTTATCAGTCGTCAAATGGATTTCGCTTTGAAAAAAGTCTTTCATCGAGTTTATGGCGTGGAAATAGGAACAACGACCATTTTTCGAAAAAAATGCTTTTTTTAGAAAAACTATTGAACCTAGCCATAGGGAATACTTAATGAAATTTGTAGAGGTTTCGTTGGCGGTCCTTATGGATCAATAATATACAGGGTGTTTCATTTAAAATAAGGAAGATTCTGCAAATTTTTATTTACAATATGTGGCAAGCGGTTTTTCACACCCTGTATATCACAGGTAGATTTCAGATATATCGTTTGAGATAGTTACCAACGTAGAATATTTGACCAAAAATAAATTCAATTGGACTTTGCACAACTTTATAATTTCAAATATTCTGAGTGACGAATATTGGAAAAAAAACCTGTCATGCTAGATATCTCGAAAACGGTCAATATTTTTGATGTGAAGATATGCATAAAGTGTCTTTTATTTTCTATGTAGAAACCTAAAAAACGATAAAAAATATAGGTTGGCATTTGAAAAAACACAGTTGGGATCCGCCCAGCAAAAATTGAACACCCTGTGTGACCACCGATATTTTTATTTTATAGAAATTTAGATTCCTATCTGTTTCCTAAATAGAGATATGGAACACCGCGCCACTGTTGCAGGACAGGAACTTTAACAAATGAATTATCGTGTTTCAGATCACATGTCTATGGGTGCTCTTGGTGACAGTTTTTACGAATACTTACTAAAAGTCTGGATACAAACCAATAAGGAAGACAATGAAGCCAGGCAAATGTTTGATGATGCTATGCAAGCTGTATTCCAACACATGCTGAAAAATTCTACTGGTGGACTCACGTATTTTGCTGAACTCAAATTTGAGAGACCTGAAAATAAAATGGACCATCTAGGTTGTTTTTCAGGTAGAAACATTTAATTGTATATATCACTTTTCTGGGGAAAATAACATTTGGTAACATTCAGATGGATAGAATTTTAATGTCTGAGTATCACAACAGTTATTCAGCACTGATTTTCGCGGTCGTCTTGGAAGATATGAATGTTGAATTGGAAAAGTAGTGACACTTTTTGATTTTTTGGTACTTTCTTTTTTTGCATATCTGATTTATAAAAAATAATTGGGTAATCGGAGTTGACCAGACTCGTAACTCACTACTTTTGAGGTAAATCACAGATGAGCATATTCATAACTTTATAGTCATGTTACAAATATTTTGAATCGCAAGAGGGCCTTGAGAATTTCACTAATTCAAAATTTGTTCTCAAATGTCAAACACCATTTGAACAGTTCGAAAAAGTGTGTTTGTTTGTCGATGATAAAACTATGGAACAAAAGAGAACTATTTTAGTGCAAGTGTGATAAGAAACCTCAAACTGAATTATATGACAGATGTCATTGTCAATTGTTTTTTGTCTCTCTCTTTGTTCTTCAACCACATGGCTTTTACCGGTAAACCATAATTTTAAAACAAATGACGATTTTTTAGTAAATTTTAATTCAATAATCTTCTTTGTATCCAGTGAGGAATCAACCTTTTTTAATGTGGTGACTTGTTTATTGTATTGACATGTTTCAATTGTTTAAATGTAACATTTTTTTCGACACGGCCAACCTCAGTAACAGTAACTTGTGACCTTTCATGTTAATAATTTCTATATTGTATCGTCACCATACAAATTTTGTAGCTTTTCCTTGAAGATGATGATAAATTTTAACGAAATATTGGAACAAATTGTGTTATAAGAGTACATTTTCGTTCTGCTGATCACCCAAAGATATTTTCCAAGTTTTGTTCTTAGAAAGTGTAATTTCTTGAGCCCTTGTATGTATTTTTGATTAATTTTCTTGGGTTATTGGGCACATGTTAAATTAAAATATACGAAAAGAAAAACTTCAATTAAACGTTTCGCCTCTGGCCAGAGGCATCTTCAGTCAAATTAAGTATT